GTATCCTTTTTATATCACTGAGGCAGTTATTCTGAAAAAAAGATATACCGTTCTCCATCGGAAATCATCCGAGTAAGAAAGGTTGGCAATTTGTAGAAAGCTCGCCACAATAGCTGAACGCGAATGCACACTCTAGTTATACTGTAACACATATAATGTCTTCCCACCTACATTAAATCACATCGATCAATCTATACCCAGTTAGAGGAAGCGTAAAATTTCGAAGAATTAGCGATGAACTTCCCGTTTGATTGGGAATTAGCTCTAACCTGGCTCTTTAAATTTATGCTTTTACTGGAAGAAATCAAAACCCTTTTGGGACAGACATCTGGTACCCTAGGTATCGGGATGGTGTGCTAAAACTTTGCAAGGTCCTTGGTTCTCTAGTTTCCCAAGCGTTTAAACGATCAAGCCATTTCGAACTATAAAAGTTTTCCAAAATCGTTTGAACGAAACATTAGAAGCGTTTGAACTGCTATATAACGAACGGAAAAAGAATGAAATTTTTAAACGAGTGGAAAAAAACTTTGCTCTCGTGCAAGGTCACATAAATTATATGTTTGTATCAATGATATTGATAATATACAATTATATACAACCAGCATATCCTAAAGCCTGGTTCTCGTATGTCACCGACGGTCGACGATGTATCGTTTGTGGTCGTTGACGAAGAAAATTTATACAAAATAACAAAGCATTTTATTCTCCAGTGCATGATCACCAACAATAGTCAAAGCCTACTGTCGGTGACATATGAGAATCAGGCATTACGACAGTAGTTTACGCGCATTTGTCAAATTTTCACATGGCATGCATTTGCCAAATCTTCACATTTTTCTATACAATGCTGTACCTACATCTAAATTACATTAGAGGCATATGGTAAAACGCGGACTGGACTGGACTTGTAAAACACGGACTGGACTAAATTAGTAAAACACGGACTGGACTAAATTAGTAAAACACGGACTGGACTAAATTAGTAAAACACGGACTGGACTAAATTAGTAAAACGCGGACTGGACTAAATTAGTAAAACACGGACTGGACTTAATTAGTAAAACGCGGACTGGACTAAATTAGTAAAACGCGGACTGGACTAAATCAGTAAAACACGGACTGGACTAAATTAGTAAAACGCGGACTGGAAACATTCCGGGCGTAAAAATCGAGCAATTCTTTCAGAATCTACGCAATTCATCGTCTTATGTTATGAATTACGAGCATTCAATTCAACACAAATATAATTTGGAAGGTTTATTCCATTAATAGAGCTAAGAGGTTAGGAAGAAACGACGGTGTGTTGTTTATGTCGATAGCAAGTCGATACCTGGTATTCTGCATATACAGTACATAAATGATATTATAGAGAACCGGACATTTTGTGCAGTAATCAAATAATTTTGCCGGTATACAGTATTGATTATAAGTATATTGTTTTGTATCGATTTACGCGTCGAAGTATCCACATCATAGACATAATAGTTAATATCCACATCATAGACATAATAGTTAATATCCACATCATAGACATAATAGTTAATATCCACATCATAGACATAATCATACTTCGACGCGTAAATCGATACAAAACAATATACTTATAATCAATACTGTATACCGGTAAAATGATTTGATTACTGCACAAAATGTCCGTTCTGTATAATATCATTTATGTACTGTATATGCAGAATACCAGGTATCGACTTGCTATCGACATAAACAACACACCGTCGTTTCTTCCTAACCTCTTAGCTCTATTAATGGAATAAACCTTCCAAATTATATTTGTGTTGAATTGAATGCTCGTAATTCATAACATAAGATGATAAATTGCGTAGATTCTGAAAGAATTGCTCGATTTTTACGCCTGGAATGTTTCCAGTCCGCGTTTTACTAATTTAGTCCAGTCCGTGTTTTACTGATTTAGTCCAGTCCGCGTTTTACTAATTTAGTCCAGTCCGCGTTTTACTAATTTAGTCCAGTCCGTGTTTTACTAATTTAGTCCAGTCCGCGTTTTACTAATTTAGTCCAGTCCGCGTTTTACTAATTTAGTCCAGTCCGTGTTTTACTAATTTAGTCCAGTCCGTGTTTTACTAATTTAGTCCAGTCCGTGTTTTACAAGTCCAGTCCAGTCCGCGTTTTACCATATGCCTACATTAGACGTGTTAAGTCTGTCTGCAGTTTACCTGTAGTGGGATCCAATCACAATTATTGTGCCAATGTACCTGTATGGGAAGTTTTCTGATATTTTAGTCACGATCTCTAAGACTCGTTTCAGACGTCGGATTTTCATGTGTTGTGATATCATTAAAGTCTTTGTTTAAAATTCAGCTGTACATGAAAAAGTTCGAGTTAATAAACCAGCCAGGGCCGTAGCTAGAAGCTTAATTGGGGGGGTGCATATTCATATATTCGTCGTATGCCCGAATGATTTCTTTTGTATGCTATTGTTCCTATGGTATATAAACATGAATATATGAATATACACCCCCCCAATTAAGCGGTCTAGCTACGGCCCTGAAACCAGCGGTTGAACAAACAACTTAATGGCTATAATCGCAGAGACCACAGTGATTCAACCGCTGTCGGATGATCGTCTGCGCCGCAACTCAAGCATTACAAATAACAATTAAATTTGTAATTTCATGTGATTATTATTCGCCATCTTAGACTTTACACAAACCATAGTTAATTTGAAGAATTATCACTGCACATAGCATCCCAAGGGGAGGGGGCATGATAAAAATGGTCCTAATTGGAAATCGGTAATTTAAATACGGGGTAATTGTAGAGGGTCTGCAGAAATTTTTGAGTTCCTATTACTTAATTTCCAGCATTTTGGGGGACAATTACTGATGAACCCAACTCAGCAGAGTGACACATTTATCACTGCATATTTCTCATTTTATCACTGCACATTCTACTTTTATCAGTAAAATTAGGTATGACACAAACGTGATTTGGTTCTTTCAGGCAGTTTGAATTTGACATATCGTCCATAAATTTCTCTTTCAACACATCGAACTCTTTGCTTCGACAAACAAAATTGCTGAGAAATGATTTGGTTCTAAGGTGCTGTTTACATGATCCGACCGCTATAAGCCGGGATTGAAAAATGACTTTGTGGTATTGATTATTGAAATGACTATAAATTATAATATGATCAATATGATCCTGGCAATGGTGTATAGATAGTAGTGGCAACAGTATGCGCCTGTTTTGTTTCTTGAAGACCGTTTATTTCATGCCTCAAAATCATCTTTTGCTTCGTTAGATCTCACGTAATCGGTCCGGTCAGGGCCGATGTAATCATGCAGCTCCTAGGGAAATAGTGAACTCTTTGAAAAATCTTTTCATCGAATCGAGGCGCAGCACATATTCAGTAAAGATTTACACAACATGTTATCGTTATGCAATTATCATGGGAATATCTGTAGCGTACAGGATGTACGTATAAAAAACGCAACATTTATAATATTCATGAATATCCGCTTTGGTACAGTGTTGCGACTTTTTACACCTTCTATAATATAGTTTTGCATATTGAAATAATAACTGATTATAACTGAGCGACGAAGGAGCGAGGTCCATGCAAAAAACCTCGTTCTGATATTTGACAGTACTTACAAACAGAACATGCGAGTCAGTAATCTGTTATTATATATGCTGAACTACATGAGACCACGGTTCGGATATATGGGTTTTTACGGACGGCTCATCAACCAATCATGCAGTATAGAGGATCCTGAAAAGCCATGTAATAATAACTGCTGTAGCCCTTATTGTCTAACTAGAAAATAACTTCCACTCTACAGGTCCAATGATTCATTGTTTTGACGTTCTGAAGGTCTATCAACTCTTTTCAGTCATGGCTCATTGTCATTTTAATCATAAGCTTAGATTTCGCTAGCTCAGGAAATGCGTTGCTTGGTTTAAACTAGCGAGAGGTTACTGCATGCATTTATTTCTAGTAATTAGTTTAATTTACTCCACTGAAGGACGCACTATAAATTATTAATAGTAGACACTTAACAAACTGTTGCAATTAAGCTATCCGCAATAAATTCTCACGGTAATTTATTGATATATAAGTTAGGCACATGTTGAATAATTTCTTTAACGCAAACAATGCTTCTTTTGCATATTGAAACACTTCTTTATAAATACGCCATTAATGCCATTAATCTAAGTTTTAAGGCCCACACACACTAGACGCAATTCGCCAACGCGACACGAATTCTCAGTTTTTTAAAGCAAATAAATTAATTTTTACACCTTGTATAATATAGTTAGAATATCGGAAATAATAACTGCTATAGTCCTTATTGTCTAACCAAAAAAAACTTTCACGGTGCGGGATTTGATTTTGTAGATCTTAAAAGTACAGACAATCACATTATTGAAATGCTTTTTTTAAGAAGTTGGACAACAGAGAGCGCGCTGTTAACAGAGAACGCGAGTTGTCTAGGGACTGGTAAATGTAAACAATACATTTGAATTTTAGTTTTCAGTCATAATTAGGATTTCAAAGCCTTGTGGGACAAATTTTCAAAACCCATTTATTTTACCGTTATTCTTTAGATTATGTTGTGAAAAAAGTTTTGAACTGTATTTGGTGAATGGAAAACACCAAACAAAGGAGTTATTAAAAATATAATGCGGCGGCTATCAACAATGTTATAATGTCAACGCCATTATAACTGAAATGAATACAAAAGAAGCTTCGACAATATTTTGAGATTATACAGTAAACATACTTTGTGGATGCTTTTCAGGTTTGCAAAACATTTTTAATGCTGAAGATTTTAGTGTTGCATGAAGATATAACTGAGGTTTTGAGCATATATTACGCGACATAGAAAAATATCTCCTCTTAATAAAAAAAGGACAAGAAACTGTATTCACCTGAGAAATTGTTCATAATTAAATCAAATTCAATATAATTAGCTAACTAATCAATTTAATTGTTCATAATTAAATCAATTTTAATATAATTAGCTAACTAATAAATTTAACTGACGTCCCATGCGATTGTTACAAAAACGTTTACACTAAGGGTTATTTATTCTTCTAAATGTTACTTAACTAAGAGTTAATAAAGTGATGTTAGAGAATGTTAATCAACGGTAAAACGAGTATTGATTCCTTATGAAGCTGTCTTTAATCCATTCAATTAATCTTTGCCTTTTTCCTTCTCTGCATGTGACGGACATAAACTTGATACGCTGATTTAAAAGCACTTTCCAAAGCTCCTTGAATCCAGCCAGCCGTAAATGCTATGTTATCGCCAGCGAAATACACATTTCCCATTGGTTCCCACAAATATCTGTCAGTTAAAAAAATTCTTTGTATATCTGGGGTGCTTATCAAATACCATAGGAAATTAGAAATTCCTGTCGGAAAAGCAAGTTGAACAGAGAGTTTTATCGGAAAGTTTAGGATGTTTCTTGTACCATTGTTTTTCCAACCCGATTTTTTAAATTCTAATTTACACGGAAGCACCTAAATTCCTCATATTCCCCAAAACACTGGACACAGCTTTGCTTAAGAGCGGGTTAGCGCTGAGACTCCATCGTAACACAGACTCGGAGGCAAAGAACTATCCGCCGCAAAACTATTTTTCAGTCAGAAAATCCTCCGTTTCGGGCAGAAAACTTAGTTTCCTTTATCCTTTTATCCTTATGTCAACAACAAAAACGAATAATTTGTCTCAAATACAAAAGGAACCACTCAGTTTTATCCGGTCCGAAGGATAATTTTTCTAATAATTTTCCTAATAATAAATTTCCTAACTAGAAACCAGCCATTATAATTGTAAGATGTGGCGTCGTCATCATGTGCCCTTTTCTCGGCGACTTGGTGACAAAATGAACGGCCTATCAGGGGCACCGGAACCGATACCGCGGAAATTGGTAAAACTGAAAAATACTTAGGCGCAATTCTGAACACTTAGGCTTCAAAATTGGTGAAAAAAAAATTGATATATACTACACAAAAGATGTCTTGCACAAAAGATTTGAAGCTTGCACACGGTAAAAACGAATCATCTGAATAAATAACCTTGTCTATACTTTAAGCATCAAAATGCCCTTTCACAGCTATCAGATGTGTATGATGAGCTGTCAAAAGATTCCATAATGCGTATTCAGAAGAAAAACTGAAGTTATTCAATAGTTTTCTCTTTGATAGCGATGCAGCGATGCATAATGTGAACCAGTGATCAGATTTTCGGGTTGAAACTTCATAAACACCAATTACTGCGGTGTTGCCGGAACCACGGGAGCAGCTGCGCCCTAGCAGTTCAATGAACGTGTCCTTTTCTAAAATTCTGCTCACGCTGCCCGAAACTGTTTCTGGCGTTTCTGCGTGGTAAGCTGTTTTCCAGCCAAGTAAATTATCCTCCGGTCCGTATCGCACAGAAAAGTTTAATTTATCAATGTGTTCTCAACAAAAACTTATTATTTTAAGCGCAAGCACCAGGCTCTCCGGTCCATATCCGCTAGCGCATTTTCCTGAGTGGAAACCAGCCTTTACTGATTATTTGAGAATCGAGCTATGAATTGATAAATAGATGGATAACCAACTATATTTACGATAAAAAAGCCTATCTTCCCCAGCTAAAGTCTGGAAAAGTCTGTGTAAAATTCGTATGCCAATTACATACCTGCTATTGTTGAATTGAGTGGTCTTCACGAGTCCATAGGCACCTCGATAAGAGGGTTGGTTGTACCAAGCATGGACAATGCATTTTTCAACTGCTCCTTCTTCTTTGATCTCAGGGTGAATTTCTCCAACTTGCTCAATGGCCTCCTTCTCTGCCTGCTCTTGGGTCAGAGAACCAAAAAGCAGTGCTTCATTATTCCAGATGTAGATCAAAATTATTCCTTGCTTCGTGGAATCGACATCCGGTTTAACGTAATGTATTTGACCGATGGGTAGGTTGGTCTTGGAAAAGCCACCTTTGATGCCGTACTTCTCTTCTTCCCAGAATCTGGTCTTGGTTTGCAGGATAATCTTCATGGCAGGTGAAGCGAACATGTCTTCAATGGCTTGAAAATTCCTTCTGAGGGCATCTCTGTCTCCCTGGCTTGGTTGAATTGGGGCAAAAGTAATTTGCCGCAAAAGGTTGGCTCGAGCGGTAACGATTACGGCCTGGATTTAAATATGATACATTAGCACTTAGAACTGTAAAACAGTACATTATCATACACCAAGTTTATGTCTTACGCTATTTTTTCCTCTCTAATTTGATGCGTACTGTTATAGAGTTGACTATTTTTGTACTTTAGTATGGGATTTATATTTAATAATTTAGCTACAGTTAAAAAAATAAAAAAATCTGGAAAGAAAAGAAAGAAAAAAATAAAATGCAGAAATATGAGGTACATAGAGCTTTAACAAATTCTTGTAAACTAACTTTAAAATATTCTATCTAATGGAGGTCCGGCATATAAAAAAAACTAAAGATTCTTGTAATTAATTTTACAAGACTGACCCGTGCAGTGTATGTAGGTTCTTCCAATTCATTTCCAGTCGCGTAGCAAGTTACGATGACATAATCCTTGATAGGGTCAGAGGGTGAGGAATAATAAGAAATCTTGCGAACTTGCTGGTTATGTTTCAAATCATCAGAACTCAACGATTTCGGTCGTTTTGAATCGAAGAATGCTTTAGGTAAGCTGTGCATACCACCAACCAAGGTGTGCATATCATGTGACCACCAGTTTGCCAGATCATCAATAAGATACTGAACCAATGATTGATTCACTTGCTCTGCGTAAGAAAAAACCGAGTAGCCACGAACTGCATCGTTAGGCCAAGGCAAAAGGTTTCCAAGCATGTCAATGTCTAATGAATCCAGATTATCACACCCGTTTTCGTCTTCGCTTTCCAATTTTGCGCGAATAACCTTAACATTGCTCTCCAGAAAGCTTTCGAATGTAAACTGGCTCCAAATGTCGATCCAGCGATCCCAAACTGCGATTTCCTCTTCAATGGTGGTTGTTTTATTCAACCAGGCAATCAATTGATCCGTGACAACGCCGGTTGTTTTGCTGTAATAATCGTCTAAACATTGTTAAAAAATGAAGAAATTGATTAAAAGACGTCTTTAATTATGTCCTGAAACATTACCCCACGTAGCATTGGCTTTTATAGTGTCAAGTCAAGCAAGTTTAGAAGAGTTTTGAGACAGATTATAGCTACTAGCTGTTCCTAATGATATAATACATGCCTTAGTATAATTCCTTTACAAGTTCCTAAAGCAGATTGTCTAAAGAAGCGTGTCACCATGGCATTCGTATAGTTTAACCTGCTGCGTAGGGGGGTGGCGACTAAATGGCATACGCGCAATTAAAAAATGTTGTCTAAATGCTTGGTTTCTGGAAGAAAATATAATAAAAAACAATAAAAAAATTCGAGTGCATTTGTATCCTGGTTGAATTTTTTCAAAATACATAAGGTATTGCTATATAGGTGCTGTTTATTTTAAATGTGATTGGTTCATTCGTAGTCACATGACCTTAATAAAATTAATGCAGTGTTTCCCGCCAGGAAACAAGTTAAAAATTGTTTCCCAAAATATGGCATAACGAAGTAAAGTGTATTTTTAATGAAATTGCTGTGTTACAACAAATAGCCGTTGTTCAGTGGTTAGTTGAACTAACCTGTATTGTCAAGAAGTAAGATGGTTATAAAAAAATCTGAGTAGTTTTAAACAAAAAATCAATTTAAAAACAGTTTAAAGTATAAATAATACCAATATCTTTAACATCGACGCTTCCTGTATTAATTTTTTCCCTCCATTTTGGCCAAATGGTGTCGAAATGCTTTCCTTTCCAGGCTAGAGAAAATAAAAAGGATGATTAGCGTTTTTGTCGTTTAGAGGATTTATTCAAACGAACATATGATTGCGCGGGGGTGAATTAGTTTAAAGTCGTCCGCCATACTGCAATGTACCTTATTACGTAAAAGAGGTATAATCTAGAGACCTTAACCTTACCCCATGCAAGAGTGATTTCTCTTCAGTGACATTGACAACACACCAATGTCTCTGCATACCAGTGGCATAATAAACATTACACTAAAATATAGGCGCGGATCTAGGGGTAGGCAACACAGTCAAGTAACAATGGTAAATTATCCGGATAATTATTATTCAATTCTCACAGTATTCATAAGTGGAAACATGTCAGTTAATTATTCATATTTTCATATCACAGTCCAGTTATTCATAGGTATATAGCTCATTGGTATCTAGGAAAGCCAATGAGAGGCAGTTATTTTGCCTATGTCTGGTAGCCAATACAGCCTTTTGATTGGACTTTGATTTTGCCTAGCCAAGACGATTTCGCCTAACTTGACGTAACTTGGAAGCCTTCTGATTGGGTAATTATTTAAAATTATATTATTTTATTGGCTTGCATTTTTTGCCTATCTTCGGTGATTTAAACTAATCACTGTGCTTGGTAAGCGTTAGTCATGTTAGGCAAAGAGTGGAAACATGCCTTTTCAATCGCTCTGAGCATCGAACGAAGGATTGGATTTCAAAGTTAGCTTCTGCTTTTTTGCGTTCGCTTTGTTATTGTGTTATTTCACAACGTGTTGATCGACTTGTAGTGATTTGTACGAGCCATTCAAACGATTTAGAGTGTCTAAACGACCTTCATTGCCGTTATTTATGCGACGTCTGATCTTTGCGTTCCATCCAACAGCTAACATTTATGACGGCGAAACGCTCCGAGCCGAAATTTTAGTGCGGAGATATAGGTGCCGAAGCACGCTCGTGATGGTATAGGAAAAGGCTTGTACTACAATAATTCAACTGTATTTTGTTTATTCTATGCTACTCTTGTATATAACTGTGTTTTACTGTTTTTAGTTCTTAAATCGGCAAACTGATGAATGTCGAACATCAACAAGCATAGCTAGCTATTTATCTATTAAAATATAAATTTAAATACCTCTGCGCTGGCTGGGTGAAAATATATGAATATATAACTTAAATATGATAAAAATATATCGCAAAGACTCAAACTAAACGTGTTCGCACAGTTACTGTATATCACATTATCATAATTTATGTATAAATATGTTCATATGAATGAATATAATTATGCATCATGATGTCGACATTCTACACCCTGCCGTCAGTCTGTGATATATTAATTGTCTGATACTGATTTAGCGTGATTTAATTTTTTTTTTCAATTCAATATTTTCTTACTTCTCAGTTCTGATGTATGCTGATATATGGGGTTTGTTTTTTGTTAATAACCACCACGGTACTATCATCATGAATGACATAATGCATCACCCCATACATGACGTCATTGATGACGTCATAAAGTTTTTACAAAGGTAAGAAAAATCCTAGATGCACGCCCACAAGGGTACGTCACTTTATGATATGAAGTAGCTACTGTAAGTCAATTGTTTTCAATGTAACATCACCTACTCGATGTTAATTCCTTTAATCCGTAAATATTGGAAATGACTTTTTCATCAAAATTTGGAAACTTTTTGATGCCTAGTTCAAAGTCAGTGACATATCATCCGTTAGAAAATGCGCTCTTTCATTTGGTTCATCCACACCACCAGGAAATCTCATCGCTCCGGCTAAAAATAAAACAAAGTAAAGGTTTGGTATGGCTATAATAAAAAAGGGGAAAAAAATATTGTTTTCCACCCTCTTAGCAGACACGATAATTGACGAAATTAGACTAGTTTCGCAACAGTACGACTTTCGGACACGTTTTCAAAACGTACAATATAAAAAAATATACAAAGATGACTTGGTGCTTGCTTCAAATAGTTTTAAATTTCATCTCAAACCACAACTGAGGCGTAGGAATTTCTTTTTATTCTGTATCCGGTGCTGTTGAATTACCTTTACGGAAAGTATCGGGAAGATACATTGGCTGAATAATGTTATTATTTTCGTTTTTAATACAACATTTATAGTACGCGCGTGCTGATTGGTCGAGAAGCGTGTTTTTATAACTATATCAAATCAATCTATAACTGTATGGAAACACGGGACATTTTCCGCCGAACTTGACAAGCGAAGTAATGTAATAAGAATTTGTAACTGAATCGAATTACACAAATTTATGCAAAATCTTTCTATTAAGCTGTATTATAACAGAAATAAGAATTTTTTTCCTGTGTTTTTATACAGGTATGGAAAAACTTGTGGGAGTTTGAGAGAACTTGAAATAACGTGGAAAAACTCGCTATGCGGGCTCTTTTTCCCACTGATTATTTCTCGTTCTCCCGATCTCCCACGCGTCTTTCTATTTAACAATTAGGTCGCTGAAGGCAAGGTGATTACAAGCCTATATTCACTGAGCCAAAATTTCGAGGTGCTTACAATAGTAATCAACATAATTGCAAAAAAGATTATAATTACTCCAAATTTCTTAGTTGAAAAACAACAAAAAGCCAGGGACGCCGGAAGATTGATAATTGGGGGGGGGGGCATACATTCATATATTCAAGTTCACAGACCGTAAAAACAATCGATTTCAAAAGAAACAAATAATGCAGAACTCGAATATATGAATATATGCCCCCCCAATTATCGATGTTCCGGCGTGCCTGCAAAAAGCTATAGTGATTGACCAGTGAGAGTGAATCTTGACCAATTAGAAAGCAGGAAAATCAATAGTCACCTCGGCTTGAAATTTATACTAAAACTGTAAAGAAACACGGAAAATATGTTCCATTTTTTAAAATATGAAAGGGCGTTCAAAAAATTAGTATGCATTTTTGGGAGCAATTTTTAAAATTATAACCCATTGAAGAAAAATGAGCCCTCACCGACTTATATAAGAACGCTTGGTGCATGTTGCGTTTGCCTTTTTAATTATTAATTTTCTAAATTTTCGAGCAGAAGTAAAACTGTGAAAAACACTTCCACTCAATAATGAATTTGAAGTTCCAACCACAGGTGATTGCTTTGTTACTATTTATGCCAAAAATTTACCAAGCAGACGTTCATTAAAATACCTTCGCCAAATAGACCGGGTGCAAGGCCTGCATCTTCCCCATAAGTGAAAACTCTTCCACCATAACGATCAGTCTGCTCCAGTATTTTCACTTTTAGCCCAGCTCTCTTCAACTCATACGCTGCGGCAAGACCAGACATACCAGCTCCAACAATAATCACGTCATATTCAATATCGTCTGGTGGTACAAATTGCCGCGGTGCGCCTGTTTTCGGAGGAGATGGGCGAGGTGGATTGTCGCCGTATTCCAAATAGGCCTCATACAATCCTTCATTTTGGATTTTCAGCAAGAATTCTTTTAAATAATCACTCAGCTGAATAACTTTGGTGGTTTGTTCTTTCATTCTCTCCTTAAACGGTTTCACTCCCTTTAAAAGGTGAGTATTGTTTAAAGAAAAGATGTTGCCATTGTCCTAGAAAAGATATAATAGAAGAAAGACACTCTCACTATAATGGAAGAAAAATATATATTTGCTGTAATTTTTACATTTATTGCTCGGCTAATCAACTAAAACACAGCTGATTCAAAAAATTAATATTAACTTTGACTTTTATAATAAACAGAAAACCTTCAACCTTATAAACGTAATTTTTGCTTTCAAGGGAAATTGCGAATTTTGTTTTCCCAAGAGTCGAGGGAAAAGAAAACTCACTATTTGTCGAGGTACGGAGGTAGCTAGTGTACATTAAGTGCTTTGTTATATAGGAACAAAAAAAACACTTTACTTTATTATGACAATTCGCGGCAATATATTATGTCAATACAATTTTTCAATTGTTTCCTTTGTTAAAAGTCATGCGACTACGAGTGAGCAATTACATTAAAAATACACAGCACCTACATAACAATAGACTATAATCTCGCGCAGCATATTGGACAACACGATTTGAATAATTTACTTACACAATTTATATCAGCACAGCGGGGGCAGGTTTTATCAATCCCGTTTAGCTTAAACGGTGAATGTAGGTTTTCTAAAAAATAGTTTTTCTATTGCACGGCCAGTAAAATGGAATTTTCTATTCAATGCCACATGATCAAAACCAACTAATTAAAAGACATATTATAAAAGATATCCTTTCGCTCTTTCTAAAAACTAATGATGGTATGTAATAATAATAACCTTTTAATGGGTTGTTTCACAAACATGGTATACCAGGTAATTATATGCTAATTAATATGTTGCTCAATGTCTGTGTTACAATAAAGTCTGTACGGTTTAATACAATATTACTGAGAGTTAACAAATGAATACATAACTTTATTTTATAGTTCAAGAGTTGCTTAGTTGCTTTGGTGTTTCAAACAAATTAATCAAGAGGTCATGGAGACAAACAAGCCTCTTTCAGAGAAAGACATTCACCCTGACAAAAAACATCCATCATCAGAAGAAGCATTAAATTTCAACATAATATCCATCAAATAGTACTTAGAGCAAAAAGTATGGGAAAAAGTTGTCAACTCATGTATGTTACTCGATCTAAAAACAAATCTAAATAGCATTATCTAGTAATAGCCGGCCATTAATTGTCAGTACAGTGTTAATTATTATATTGCAGAATAACCAATTAATGCATGAATAATGAATAACTATTAAGCTACATTAATTTACCAATATATTGTTAACAAATTTTATTAGATAATTATTATTTTTTGCAGTTCATGAATTACAAGAAGAGTGGAAGTGCTCAACATGCAACAAAGCTGGCTTTGAAAATATGATGTGTGATTCATGTTCAACCTGGCACACTTGGTGAGATGAGTTACATGCATCTGCAGTAATTGGCAAATTGCGGTTGGGACTTTACCATTATATAATTGGCAAAACTAATTAATAAATTAAAATATAAATTAATTTTATATTCTTAGTGTCTTACAATTACAAATCTTACACATTATTTTTATTAATGTGGCATAATGTTAACTCATCACCACATTTTTCACCAATGCAAAGGTCAGGGCATTAAATCTACTAAAGAATTCTTAATCTCAGTACAGCATTATCATAATTTTTTTTGTCTTTGCCTAACCCCCTAGCTTAGGAGCACAAGGACACCTTCAGTTGTGCCACCTTGGACCACTAGCTAGTTTCCAGCCTGCCACTGGACATAGAATCATATATGCTTTATTTTTTTCCTTTCAAACAACTAGGGAATGTGTAAAAATCAAAAGTGAACATGATGAATGGTATTAATTGTCAAATATGTGAAAATCTAAATACGGTAGGTAAAGTACATGCATATATATTTCAATGGTAATAATTCATGATTGTTCGTCCACACAAGAGAAATCATTAATTAGGTAGACAATTAGCATTAGGTTATACCTGCACAATTGCTAAATCAACAGTGTTTAATTCCAAGGGAGGCTAGGGAAATAATGGACTAGTTAGCTGAATTGTTGATATATTATTTATCAATAAATCATCTTTTAATTAATGTAAATACATTAATTACTCAGTATTAAATATACAAATATTTTATATTTACATTTCAGGATATGTCATCCAATGAACTAGATCGAATTGACAATTAGGGAGACATTTGTCAATAACTTTTAATTGGCATTCATGTTTATATAATATAATCATGTTATATATAATGGAGAAATAGAGAGCATTATTATTAAATATATTTCTTAAAAAGTATTTGAAATATATACTTTAACTGGCACTAAATATACACTTACCTTTTCTTTCTTTTGTTTATGACTTCAATGACTTGAAATCACTAGCTCAGTGTTTGACATCCTGTACCGAAGACAAGCTCAGTGACGGCCTGACGGGTACCTATCACTGGTACCTATGACTGACTACGAGTATTTTACTAATCCATCACTTTCCACGATAACCACAAGCTTTCCTGCTGCAGGAATCAAGATTCCTGCAGCAATATCGCCCCAGTCCTTTGCGCGGCATTCAAAATAGCCTTAATGATCGAAGCCGTTCTAATGATTACTAGCAAGCGGGATTTCCGCAGAAAACAATACACATACACACACGTTTTTTGTGGGAGAAGGGGTTTGGTGGAAGCACTCCTATAGGATGTAATTCTTTGTGGTCAATCTTTCATCCCAAAGACTCATTCTTAAATGGCCTTTAAATCGTTGTCTTGGGTTTATATTCTCTCCATTAGGACTCTTCAACTGCGCACAATTGTATGATGCATATGACCATATGTCATGTATGCGCACACGCTACATACCATAAAAGAGGTATAGCTAGCCTCTAAGACATCAACCTGATCAACCGCACAAGTTTGTTGGACAGTATACGATTCGATTGATCTATGATTACAATAACTTAATGCTGAGTCTATGGGCTTGAACGTGACAATCAGGAGCGCTTCCTCTCACAATACACAGAATGTGTATCCCCATAGACGAAGGAGCCCTGCCGCAAAAATAGGAAATCGATGATGTTGAAATATTGGCCAGTGTGGCTGATACGCTTGAGAGCGTTGAGGTAGGTGTTTGAATGTAACGTTCAAAACAATCGGAAGACCAGCGTCCTAACGTTTGGATCATCCAAGCGGGCAAGTTAACTGAGGCTGCGGTCGTAGCAGCGCCAATCCGAAAGCAATGACCAACATATTCCTGGCATTGAGCCCAACTTAACAACGTTCGAGTCTGAGCAGTTAACGTTTGTTTTGTGAGCGGTTTACCTGAATACTGTTTCATGGCCGAAACAGGGCAAAGCGCGGTCCCTGTGGCTCCGACAGTTAGTGTTACCTACGCGAAAGGGGTCTGTTTTGGATTCTTTAAGGTGAACTGTCATATAATTGGGCTGGGCCATTGCTGTACCTTGGGGAAATGCGATATTATCTTTCGTGAGGTGTATACTGGAGTTAAATTTCGAATTTGTTGTTAGCTCCCCCAAACGGAGAAAGCCAAAAAATACCAGAGTCATAGCTGCCCAGATCATAACGGAATTATAGTTTGTAGTGTTAGGGACACCAAGCAATGTGCGGAAGAGTTCTAAGTGATGAATGGTGATAGGACAGTAAGCGAACTCGAACTTTATCCCCCTGCGATCGCTTTATACCCCGTAGTACTAGTTGCAGCCGCACCATTTTTTGTAAATTCAGAGCATGACCGTGGCGAACATGGAAGTGGCGTATTCAGTTAAAAGGGATTCATTGGCAGGGAGACAATGTTCGACTTATGTCGCCTAAACCAATTTACAAAGTGCTTAAAACTTCTTTTGCCTGCGCTGTAGGTCTGCGACGGACCTTGTGTTTTGCCGGCGGCTATAGGTATTTTTATATTTTGAAATGCAAGAAGCATGGATAAACTTTGCTGACAGATGCTGTCAAATGGTAAAGCGGGTGCTTTTGGTTCAATGAGCACAAAATCGTCTAGGATATGACCAGATATGACATGCGAAGGAAATAGGGCATTTATTTATTAAGACCACTCCAAGGCATTGGAAAGTTGATTAAATATAAAAGGAACGCTGCGCAGACCAAATGGCAGAACTTTGTCGTAGTACGTAATCAAATATTATATTCATTTTTACCAAATATAGCTTAGTGCAGCATTTTATTGGGGATGTTGGCATGGTGTAATAGGTGGAATATCAGGTGGAATATCATCACTTTCAATTAAAAAATTATACTAAAGTTAGTAACAACTGTAACTTTAGTGTGTCTGTAATAACATAGGGGGAATTATTATATCATAATATAATATTAGGACTGTTTTCCAATGATAGTTAAGCGTAGAATACCTTATTGTAATGACATATAAGCGCCTTCTATTTTGTTGGAATCAAAGAACTAAGCAAATCGAATATAGAGGCCTGGTAACTAGTATGCTGTCGTATGAACACACTGAAATGTTTGCCCAAGTGCACTTATTACTCATACCAAATCTCATTTAACTACGCTCTTTCACCTGTGGGAAGTTAAGGTACGTTTACACACAACGATTAATCGGGCTGATTTCTGGTTCTGCTGAATGATAATGGCGATTACTGTCATTTGGTGATGTCGTCAGATGACGTTTACTGCGAATTTTTACAAATGTCATTTATGTAAACCTGAACCAGACCGATTAATCGTTGTGTGTGAACGTACCTTTAGACTTTCTTCTGTAGTTTGCTCTCATGACAATGATATGAACACACTGAAATGTTTGCCCAAGTGCTATTATTACTAGAACCAAATTTCATCTAATTACGTTCTGTAACCTGCGCGAAGTTAGACTTTCTTCTTTTCGCTGCTATCTCAAGCACAACCAGTGACGTCATAACTCAAAATGCAAAAAGTGCGATAACTTGGGAATGAGTTGAGATATGAATGAACTATAGCTGCCATTTTTCATCATTTTGAAGGTACGTTCAAATAATGCAATAAAATATTGAGTAAAATGTCGTTTCATAAACACTTTAATTAGAGTCACATGACTACATGTATACATTAATTTCGACAGGCACACAGATATTAATTTGTGTAATCATCCAGATTAAAATTTTTATTATTAATTCTGATGTTTCGGCTACCTACACGGCAGTCATTATCAAAGACGTTTATTACAGTTGCAAATTTACACTTATCAGTTTTATCACAGAGGAGAGATGGACAGAGAGTCGACTTCTTCTCTGTCCATCTCTTCTCTGTGGTTTTATCTTGCATCAAATTGACGTGCGCGTTTTCGTGAGTTTGTTTGCTTGCACGTGCGTTTAAGGCTTAAGAGCCTGCGATTATGTGCAATTAGCCCAGCGTATGCTCCAGGCATATCGCGACAAATGTTGATCCATGACAAATGTTTCCATCGCATTTTGTCAACCAGCTTTCTAAAATCATTCTTTCATCCTCAAAAGCGATGAATTCCATACAAGTGGCTCTCTCCCAATCAATTTTGTGCTTCGTTTCCATATGATGAACCGCAATTCTGCTCGCCACGTCTTGTTTTCTGTTGATCGCTTATGTTCTTTAATGCGAGAATCGAGAGTACGTCCAGTTTCACCAAAATCAGTTGCGGGGCATTCACTTTGTAAACTGTTCACGCGGACGTCAATTTGACGCAACATAAAACTGCAAATTTGCAATTGTAACAATTTTATACGTCTTTGATAATGGCTTTCGTGTAGGAAGCCGAAACGTCAGAATTAATAATAGAAAATTTAATCTGGATGATCACACAATAAATTAATGAAAGACCTCGGATTCAAGCCACGACCAAGAGAGTTCTCAACTGTTTTTTTGAGTAACCGTTTGATCTGCACATCTTCAAAATATACATTCGACTACTAGCTGTAATACTTACTAAATAGCTACTACATAGATGAAGTCAAACTAGATATATTGTCTTGCCTTTACGCTGTTTTCTAGTTTAGACCGTTTAACTTTGTTAAATGATTTTAAAAGCCATGCTTTAGTCCTTGGGCTCTTCGAAGGTTTTTTTGCAGTACAGGCCCCATGTAGAAACTCCTTTCCATGATCCGCTTGACGTGTTCCCAGATTCGAAGTAGATTGTATAAGGAACATCCATCTTGGTCTCGTTCACCACTGCGTTACAAACAACTGTGGAATGAGGTTTTACCCTAACAGAAAACTTATCAACATACGATTTGGCATTTGAACTGGACGTTCCCCAACTGTAGGAGTAAGAACCGGTCGCAACGACTTCCTCTTCTTCCTCGCCCATCATTGGAATGCCACATTTGAATTTTGTTCCAACGGGAATTGATGCCCCAGCTTGATGCGTAAATGAAAAACTATTTGTAATTGTCTCATTAAACTAGAACTCCATTCTCTGGTCGATAGAACTGGGGTTGTTTTTTTTCTGTTTTGCGATTACCTTCGGAGTCGTAGAAAGTATTTTTGCTTCGTCAACTTTGTATTCGACACGGATTATCTCATCATTTAAAACAAGAACTTCGAAATCGTGAATGCGGTGCTCCTTGCCACCGTAGGCGATGCATGCTCCCTTAAGATTCCCATCGTATTCCTTATCCACTCCAACTTTTCCAGGAATCCTCTTTCCTGCAACTACGCCCCTTGCATGGTATGAAGGACCTCCATCGTAGCCTCCTTCAATAGCATTTTTTGGTGGCTTGTCACCAGTTTTGCATCTCACATAGGATGCTTTCAATGTTGATGTTAGCACCTCGAATGTGTGGACGCGGTGCTCTTTTGATCCGTACGGAATGCACGCCCCTTTCAAACGGCCATTTCTAGGCGAATCTACTCCGACCTTGCCTGGAATATTTTTCCCAGAAACCCTCCCTCTCGCGTGGAAAGATGGTCCGTTATCATCTCCACCTTGAACAGCATTTGCTGGCGGTGATTCCCCTGTTGAACATTCGACATATTTGAAAGGACTCGGAGTTTTAACTGGTTTAAAAAACTGTTAAGAAAAAAAAATCAAATTTCAATGAATCCTAGCAATGAATTACGTTATTAAAAACAACCCTTTAAGCGTATGTGTTGGAGATCTATTCCTCCGACACTGTAGTTTATACTTCGCCTATAGCTAGATAGTCAATTAAAAGACGACCAATTGACAAATTTGATCAATCGCGTGCACCGTAAATATCATGCATGAATGCGCATTATTTTGAATGTATTATGCATGCTCTTTCGAATTTAGTTCCCATACTAACATTCCTTCACCGTTCTTTTCTACAAAATAATATACATATTTTGCTTATTTCTGCGGCTCAACTTTATCCCATTTCAGTTAAACAAAACTAGATTTACATGAGCCGTTTGTATGCTTCAAGTCTTTGGTCTTGATATTTTTAAGTACATAATTCCAAAAAACTTTATTTAGGTTTAGCACTTTTCCCGAAATATTTTTTGCTGTGCAAAATCACAAAATTTTCCGAAAAAGGGAGGTAAATGGGGTTAGGCGAGTGCGAAAACGTTCTGATTTTTAAAGCGAATATCGCGTTGCCCGGGTTTGGCATTGGTCGACTCGTGGTTGACTCCATGCATAAATTGACACGACACAAATTAACATTTTAAACCGATTAAGACCGATTTCCATTTACTGTTAAACCGCTGTTCTCTTGACTACGATATTTCAAATCTTAAGACAACCTTAACAGTGCTACATGGTGTTCTTGGTGGCGTGGGAAAATTTAAAACAAACAAACAAACAACTAAACAAGAACAAGAACAGTCCTTTAATGGTTGACTTTCTTACCTCCGTCGACGACTTGCTTTGAGACATTTGGATAAATTGAAAAACTTGGGTAAATAATTTCCCAGAATTTTGGACCTGAAATAAATATAACACAACTATTAGTTAGAGAGAGCAAACTAAGAGTATTTTGAAGACATTCTCGCATCAAAAGTGTGCAGAAAAGCTAAAAAATAAAGACGATAGGCGAACAAAACGCTGCGTGATTTACGCTTTCAATTAGCAAATTTCTGTAACAGTCTGATCAAAATGATGTCGTGGTTTCAAAGTCAAACATTTAAACTAACCACGATTTTGCATGCCACCGAGCAAGTTGCGACCAGAACTTGCAAGTACCAACCGTTATTTTCACATTAATTTTTGTAAAGTTGCTAGCACGCACTACCGGCTCCGCTCGGTACTTATTTATGCTTATTGAATGTATTTGTTGCTTATTATTTGACAAAATAAAGTTGGATCTGAGAAAAATTTACGATATTTACATTACCATAGCGTATTCAGATAACATGCATGATATTCAATAGCATCAGCTATTCTACCGTTAGTCTGTTAATGTTTGGGCAGATGCTCTAAAGTATGGAAGGAAATAAAGTATTTCCTAATGATATGTTTAGAGATCTTTTGTGACCACCAATAATTTTTAGTTAAATAAGAATAGCTATTGACATGGAGCTCAAATATGTCCGACAGAGGTCAAATCTTGTCAATGACATATATAAATATTGTGGATTAATTAGAATAATCTGCTTATACAGTATAACCCAATTATATCTCTGTGTAGTCGTGTGCTCTCAAAATGAAAGCATATATACAACTATACAGTCTGAGAAGCGATATGACAGAAAAATGGCGAGTTTATATAGATCATATCGATTTTTTTAACAATCCATTTTCAACCTTTGACACGCATTGGCGAAAATTGGCTAAATCAGTGCACTTTGTTGCATGGAAATATTGCAATGTGCGTATGTGTAGTAAATAATGTGTATATACTACAGTGTGTATAACAAAAATTCGAATCCAACTTTGACAGGCTGCTGTGTATAAAATACGAAAGTAAACGATACAATTTTTATATGGCAACAAAGATAACCTTATTTAGTTTGCGATTATACCGTTCTTACATACCGACCAAAACTAGCCGAGTTATCGTCTTTTAAAAACTGTTTCTCGAAATCAAATTTTTCCGCCGATGGGAATTCGAAGTGAGACCTCCAGACAAAAGAAAATGCAAATTTAATCAATAAATGTTCGTTGTTCCGCGTGCTTAATTGAGGCATTGTGTTCTTCAAAGATATCGTTGAACATTGAATTAGCAGAATTTTTGCGATAAATTTGCATTTTAGTTTTCAGTAATAATTAGATTTTAAAGCCCTTCACTTTTCAACTAAATGACACGTGCAACGTGTCAAGTTTGAAAGAGAAATAAATGAACTTTACAATGGTGTAAAAATCAACCAAATTTGTCAAATATATTTTGCATTATTACATGCAAAATTTCGATTCAAATTTTTTTTATACACCCTGTATCTTGCACATCTTACATAGCTACTATATATACCTACATGCACTATAATGTATGTAATAGGAAACAGGATAAAAGTTGATGTAAAATAACAGGAAGCTCGCACACAATCCTATAACGAATAAATAGTTGTTTTTGCCAAGATGGTTCGTGAAATGCATGGATATATGAATGCGAAAGTTGTTCGGTCGGGGCAAAGTTATATAGTGTTTATATAGGAGGTAAAAGAATGCGCGATAGAACGGTTTCCGAACCAGGACTATAAGCACATAGTTGTGTAGAACGTATTGGAATCTCAAAAAAATATTTTTATAAAAACAAATAATTATGAGATATTTCACGTTATATAGCTATGACTAGTTTTATCATATTTACACCTCTGATATATTACTTATAAACATAGTATGCATATAGAATATAATTGCTATCTTCTCACACGCACTAGAAATATAGCTACATTTATAATTGTGAGGGCTATTGACCTATAGGTGCATGATTATATCAAAAACATATTTTTTCTGGCCATGCAAGCAGGCAAATCACCAGTGGCGGCATCACCGTGTAATACTTTATTGGAAGATCTTTGACAGACACATATTTTGAAACGAGAACTGAATATGTTGTATAATCAGTGATAGGGATCTCACTTTGGTATAATTCGACCCATTTTGCTTGCCTTCGATATATAGAATAATTATACTTTTATACGTAGTTTTATACAATTAACTTTACAAGGGCCCCGACTGTCGGATAGAAATACTTAATTGCACGTTTAGCGGAAACGTTTGAGTGGTTAGGTGAAACCTGTTTACGTCTGTAATAAAACATTTTTACGGTTTTATTTAAGCGTTTTCACGGCTCTACAAAAACGTTTACACCGCTCTACCAAAACGTTTTTACGGCGCTAACAAAACGTTTTTGCAGCTCTACCAAAATGTTTTCACGGATCCGTCAAAACGTTTTCACGGATGGATTAAAACGTTTTCACGTTTTGAACAAACCGTTTAAACGCCATGCAATAAAATTTAAACGGGCGTTTAAATTTTTTTTTCAAGGCAACCATTTTTGATTTTCACGGATAGAAAACGGATAGCAAACGGTATTTCAGCCCGTTTTTTCAAACCGTTAATGTATGTTTTCCCGTGGAGAGAAACATATAGCAGAATGTTGTATATTCGACATTGTTTTGAAGGAATACACTAGATATAGTATAATTTTTCGACCTTGTCGGGTTAAAAGGAATGAAAGACAGGATGCCGTGAGCTGCTATGTTATCGCCATTTACAGGCCTGACATGTTATCGCCATTTATAGGCCTGCATGACTTGGACGTCGAACTCTAACTCCTGTATCGAAGTTTCGTGAAGCACAAAATTGTTTAGGTCCCCAGTAAATTTAAAGAGCATCTAGATTCTAGTTGTATTCAGGGAGATAAACGCCAAATTACTAATGATGAGGAAATTGTACATTAATTTATACTTAGAACATTTTACAATGTGCAATATTAGCAATTCCTTTATGCTGTATATCTGATTGAGTTACTCGATTATTTTGTTATTACAGAAAAACATTTCGGGAAACCGAATTGCAACCTTTATCTCAATTCACAAAGAAATTTATTAAGATTCGCAATTAGTTTAGTCATCCACCTTAAAAGTATGCAGCTGATTCGGAAACTTTACAAAAAATGATATAACATGCAACGATTATATACATCATTGATATTAAACAACAGTACATACTTCAACAGGATACACATATATGCATACACGGGAAACATATAGTAAAACGGAAATACTCGAGTTAACATGCAATATGAGTTTTGCTTGTGAAATCAATTTCTTTATGCATTTATGATAATTTATTAATAGATAGCGTCCATTATACCGACTATTGTATGGCATCGATCAGTAAAAATTCCCATATATATATATTAATATATATATATATATATAATATTATATATATATATATGTATATATATTCTTATATGTATATAATATATATATATCTTATAAATGTAATGTTTGGATAACCAATATAATAATGTAATAAAACTCGAACTATGTACTGAAAGGGTGTTTGGCTTTTTTTAATTAAGGAGCGAGCTATGAGCTGGCCCGAAGTTATCGTTTCGCAATTAGTTACTGATTCAGAAATTTACAAGAAATCTTGGCCAATTCTATGACATAGATTCGTAATGCCACATAACACATATCGGCTGCACATGTATGTATAACATTGATCAAATATGTATGTTACAGGATTTATCAACACATACCTGAAAATTGCCTTCGGTCAAATCACACTGTGGTGAAATATAGCTTCACCAGTGGGCAGTAGCCTTGTCTGCACTGCTTCGATATTGAAATTGAAATGAATCGAACACTGATAATCTGACACATTACCAGAAATTTGGGACAAGATGGCGTCTTGCATTGGGATAAAAACAAACATGGCGGCCAAATTTCATGCGAAACAATATGGCTTAATCACAAAACTTTAAATTACGCTTCCTATGTGTGTTTTTTTCTTGGTTCGGATTCAAATTCTGTAAATCGCTCAGAAAGGAAGAGTTATAACAAAAAATATTCACTCACTAGCAAATCCTCTAGGTTCCTGAGTGCGATTTATATACAAGTCCAATTTGAATGATTCGGCTATATAAACCATAGTAATATCGGTAAACATGCTCTACAATCTGGTCAAATACACCACTTTCCTTTTGGACGATGCAAAGTTCGGAGTTGGAAATGTCTTTGGTTGTGATATAGCTACCGATATAACTCATAAATATCTTCGTATTTTTTACCGCCACGGTTCCCACAGCGTTTGAAATTTCATGATTCTTCAGTGTGTTAAGCATCCGGCCATATACATTTGAAGCATAATTATAATTGCATAATTATACCATCGAGCCATTTTATGAAATTTTCACCAATTCCTTGGGTCAAGAAGCGGACGCTGCCCACGAACGCGGACGCAAAATGTCTCAAATTTCTGGTAATGATATAAATAACGATAGCTGAATAGAACGTCGTATGCTTGAACGATTTCTTAATTAAATTTCGTACATAATTAGACATCCAGTGAGTACACCAGGTGGGAAGGGAGGTATCTTCCTTAGCTCCTGCTGCTCATGCAGAATCGAAAATACCAGAATGTTCTATATTCGACCTTGGTTTGAAGGAATACACTAGATATGGTATAATTTTTTGACCTTGGTAACATTGAATACACCGGAATGTGGTATAATTATTCGACCTTACCTATACCGTAATATGAACCTTCAGAGATGATGCAGAATTGTTCAAAATATTACCTCAATTAAACAAAATAAATGCTGTTCCTAACTGAACGTCTTAAACGGGACTTAATTAAGACAAGGTATTATGTGCTGCTATCATATATCAGCATCGCCATGAATGATTTACAGGCCTGACTCTAAGTTTCGTGAACAAGAAATTGTTTGGTTCTCCAGAATAGCATATAATTGTATTCAGGACCCGAATATTTGATTATCACAAAAAAACATGTCAGGAAACCGTAATGCATCGAATATCTCATAAATTACTCGCTGTGCGCTGTGGAGTAACAAAGAAATTCAGTTAGGAGATCTCAGTTTAGCTCCTCTCAATTTACGTCATGTAATATTTTTACATCAATTAACGATTTCGTGTTCCTGTTTGTCACAACCAAGCGGTAAAGTATCTTCCTAACTGAACGCTAACGAAAAGGTACTATGAGCTAGCTGCCATGCATGTAGTCAGAAGGAATGATTTATAGGCTGTCTCAACCGTTGAACACTAAACTCTTGGTTTAAGTTCATTTCTTCTTTCTCATCGTATCTTATCTCTCATCTTATTTGCATTCGAGTCGTATCCTTCCTTTGTCGTATCTATAAGTTCGACTTATGAAAGAGCCTTTAAACACACGTTATGAGAATTATAATGAGGCATGAAAATAGAAAAATTGACCAATCTTTGACTAGTGCACTACTTTCCTAAGAGCTAAAAAAATGGATATTTTAAATGATATTTCAAATCTGTATATATCAGTAATTTATTGTTAAGGTAGCAAGCTACTTCAAACTGGAATGCAACCTATATCTTAAGTAGGTAGCCCCCACCCCCATATAGCGAGGAAAACACGCAACGCGTGAATCCCACGCGGGACGTCGGAAACTGTCGGATTTTCCCGAAGGTATGCGTGGTCTCCACGCGCGAGTAGAATAATGCGCGGGCACGAGAAATGGGGTAAACAATGAAGCGTAAATACGCATCATAGCGTAAATACGCAGGATATGTTTGTTTGACAACAATTTACTCAAATTACACATTGCCGGTTTATATTATTGCTGCCGAGCGTAGCGAGGCAGCCCACTATTCTTGACACAGCCGAGATTTATCCAGAGTTCATTCGACCCAGTCTTCCGCACCGAACTATGTATAGTCGGAATCTCGATTCGTGTCCGTTTGTCCGGATGTCTGCATTTTCCGGGCCAAAGTTCGATCGTCAAGTCACTTTTAAAATTGGGGGGAGTGGACAAAATATTAGAGCCGTCGGTACCGGACAAATGGGATATGCAGGGATATGTTCTTTTTTCTGCTTTAATACAGATACATATACATATGATGAAGGCGATGCATGAACGTTCATTGTTCAATCTTAGAGGAGTCCTTTCATGTGTTAATCGGCTACATGATTCTCAAAGCAATGTTCTCATCTGAATCTAGAGCGGTGCTTTCATTAGTTTATCGGCTGTAGCTCATATACCCAAGCGAATGGATATTGTTAATCACGTAATTGTATACGCTGTAACGCAGGATCGGAACAGAAGATAGACATTTTCAGAACAAGGATATATTTCTTCCCGCACTTAGACAGATACATATACATCAAGGCGAAGAATTTTTATTGTCAATCTAGCGCGGTGCTTTTATGAATTTATCGCCTATATGAATATATGGTTCTTATGACTTAATTCATAGTAAACAAATAAGTATATGGGCATGAATATATGCGAGCGAACGAATATTGTAGGTACTAGACAAATGGGATATGCAGCAGGGATATTGCATCACACAAGAAAACTGCTCTAAAGATAACCACTTTGTTTTGTGATGCAAATTAGTGCATTAGTGCTGGATCCACTCGTGATTTCCTGACAGACATCGAGTCTGTCACACACTAGGTGGTATGGGAGGTACGTTCCTTAGCTCCTCCTGCTCACGCGGAAGTTATATTCTTATACCGCGGTCTTTCGTTTTGTCTCACTTGTGTTCTCGGAGGAAGAGCTACTGGTACAAGGCAATACTGCATAGTAATACAACGACTGAGATTTCAGGTATGCGCTGGAAGATAAGTTGAATGCCGAACTTGCAATTCTAAATGCTAAATTTCTTGAGCAGGAACAGTTTGTTTACAAAAGTGAACAGAGGCTGAACGACCTGGTGAACGAAAATTTGCATTTAAGGTCACGTATAGATGAGTTAGAAAGGAAAGTAGGTCATACTACACCTACTATTCCGGCAAATCTCAACCAAGGTAAAGATGATATCAGTCCTTCAGTGCATAATTCCTCAGTAAATGTGGCAACTAATAATCCCCAATCTGTGACCCCTAATCCTCCTAAACTTGTGAGTACTAAACCACCCAACTTTCAATCGGATATCCCAAATCGTGCTGGTGCGCAGCAAAATCAACAAGAATCTGTTATAAACTTAATAGAAAATAACCTACCTATAAATAAACAGCAAATTCAAACGCAAGGAAGCTTAAACACAGAAGTAAATGCTACAAAAAGTTCAACTCAATGCCCTTTCTTGTTACGTCGAGGCAGATGTCTCAAAGGGAACCGATGCGATTTTCAACACAAAATCCCTAAGCATAAAACCTTCTGTCCTTTTTTGCAAAGAAGAGGATACTGTTTGAAAAAGAATAACTGTGATTTTTCCCATGCAACGATTTACCGAGGAAAGGCTTCACCAAGACCATTGACAAATAATCATTTGCCCAATGCTTCTTTTTTATTCGGCAGCAGAGCGTCAATGCCACCAAACATCTACATGGACCCTTTGACCAGGTTTCCAAACTACCACCCAAATTTGTGGAGACCCATACCTTCTGCAAGACCAGTAATGGAATTCCCAGTGCTCCCCCACAAGTCCCATTGGAATTCACAGTTCCTTCTTCCCAATCCCTCGCAAATACCCTCTCCTCTAATTAAATCCAGTTACTAAGCTTGATGATGGATATACTTCTGATAATGGACAATGCTATATGATTCAAAGAATAATGACGACACGGTCTCGAAATCTGAATATTAATAAGGAGCAACCCAAGCGAAACAACTTGATTACAATTGCCTGTGCACCCATGGCTCAACCCTCTAAAGCAAGCTTAGCGATACATTTTAGCACGCTGAATGTAAGATCATTAAAAAACAAGATGTGTCTTGTTCATGAATTTATCGTAGATAACAAACTGGATATTTTGGTCCTAACAGAAACCTGGCTCTCCCTGAAAATAATGATTTTGAAATAAGTGAAGCTACTCCTAATGGATATTCATTCTTACATGTTCCTCGAGAATCTCGTGGTGGTGGTGTAGCTATTGTGTTTAGAAGAACCTTATATATCAAGGAAAATCCGAGCATTAGAAAGTTCGAATCATTCGAATATATGGATCTGACTATGAAATCGGTATCGAAGACTGTGAGAATTATTATTGTCTACCGTCCTCCTATGTCAAAAAAGAACGGAGTAAATGAAGCTATTTTTTAATGAATTTTCTAATTTGCTGGAAATACTTGTTCCGAGCCAGGGCATTGGAGATGTCTTACTAGCGGGCGACTTCAATTTTCATGTTAATGATATCAACAATGTGTCGGCGAAAAAGTTCAACAACTTGATTAGATCGTTTGACTATAAAAATCATGTGCTTGTTCCTACCCATAAAAAAGGTCATACGCTGGATCTAATATTAACAAGATCAGATGACACATTTGTGTCCGGCGTAAATGTAACTGATCCTGGTATCTCGGACCATTTTGCAGTAAATTGTAAGTTACTGTTTACTAAACCTTATTCTGTAAAGAAGAGCATTAGCTTCAAGAACATCAAGTCGATAAATTTTGATTTGTTCTGTGCCGATATAAGAAGATCAGCTTTTGCCCAAAAAAGCAACACCGCGATCAACACTTTTGCTTCTGTTGATGCCTATGAAAACACACTCGTAACGTTACTGAATTCGCATGCACCCATCAAAAGTAAGCTTAAAGTATTACGTCCAGATACCTCATGGTATACCCCGAAATTCAGGAACAAAAAATCATAAAAAGAAGGTTAGAGCATCGTTGGAGAAGGTCACGATTAACCGTTGATAGAGAATTATATACTCAGAAGTGTGTTGATGTTAATAGGCTTATTACAAACGCAAAAACCAACTATTATAAAAAGTTAATAAATGACTGCGAATCTGATCAAAGGGAACTTTTTAAGAAAGTAGAGAGAATGTTTAATGGATCAATAGAAAGAAAATATCCACCGTGTAGTTCATCTGAACAACTTGCAAACAATTTTGCAGACTTTTTTGAAAACAAAATTGACGCTATCAGAAATGATTTGTTAACACATTCCACGATTCCAATGTGTACCAACACCATAGAACCATCGTCGATGAAATGCAGTGAATTTAAATCAGTCCTTTCTACCGACATCTACTGAGGATCTGACTGTCATAATGAAAAAAATGGCCCAAAAATCGTGTGTTCTGGACCCAGTTCCCTCTAAGATCGTGCAGGAGTGTTTGGCTGATTTGTTACCACCGATTAATAAAATATGAATATAATTAACAACTCACTTGAAACTGCTACTGTACCTGTAAGCCTAAAATGTGCAGCTCTAAAACCAAGGCTGAAGAAAGATAACATGAACACTGATGAATATCCTAGTTTTCGACCGATCTCAAATCTCAAGTTTGTGTCTAAATGCCTAGAGAAAGTTGTGGCAATTCAATTAGATCAACACATCATGAGAACAATCTAAGTAAATCTCTACAGTCTGGTTACAAGAAACACCACAGCACTGAAACAGCCTTGGTCAAGGTTCAAAACGATGTTCTGGAAGCTTTGGACAATCAAAATACAGTGATCTTAGTTCTCCTAGACCTTTCTGCGGCATTTGACACTGTAGACCATGCAATATTAATGCACAGACTCTCTTCGAAATACGGGATCAGCGGAAAGGCTTTAAGATGGTTTGAATCATATCTTGATGAAAGGTCATTTACGGTATATGTTCTTGATGGCCAATCTACAAAACGAACTATACGATCTGGTGTTCCACAGGGAAGTATTTTGGGACCGATGCTTTTCTCACTTTATATTGCACCTATAGGAGATATTATACGATCAATGGGCATTGGCTATCATCTCTACGCTGATGACACTCAATTATACATTACGTTTAAATCGACTAATGCAAGTAAGTTGGGTGAGGCTAAATTTGAGATTGAGCAATGTATCAGAAAAGTGAATGAATGGCTATCTAGGAATAAACTGAAATTGCACAGTGAAAAAACTGAGATAATGTTGCTATCGTCTCGATATCGCCCTTGTCCATTTTCATTTTCGGTAACAGTTTGTGACGAACTTATTGATTTATCGCCAAAGGCAAAGAATATTGGAGTTACGATGGACTCGCAGTTAAATATGGAGATGCAAGTAATAACTGTTTGCAAATCTGGATTCTACTATCTGAGAAAATTAGGTAAAATACGAAAATATCTTAGCCTTGAATCTGCTAAAACTTTGGTACATGCATGGTTACTTCCCGATTGGATTTCAACAATGCCGTATTGTATGGATTACCAAGCATACTCCTACAAAGAATTCAGAAAGTCCAAAATGCAGCTGCACGGATGGTCGCTTTGTCAAATAAAAGGGATCATGTATCTCCTGTGATGTTTAAACTGCATTGGCTGCCGGTGAAAGAAGGAATTGAATATAAGATACTATTACTCACTTATAAAGCACTATCTGGTCTAGCTCCGCCATATATAAACGATATGCTCAAGATTTATATTCCTGAACGTAATCTACGATCTTCAGTAGATAAACAATTAGTAGTCCCAAAATATAATTTAGAATTTTATGGAGGACGGTGTTTTTCTGTAGTTGCACCAACACTATGGAATAGGTTACCACAGACACTAAGACTGTCTGAGCCTGTAAATAGTTTTAAAGTAGGATTAAAGACATATTTGTTTAGAACTGTAAATAAAGATTTATCTAAGTATTGTAAATAATCATAGATTGTAGCTAGTTTTATACCCTTTTTATAGTAAAGCCAAAAATCTGTATTCTACCTTTATGGATTATGGATTGAATATCAGTAGAAAACATGTTGTGCTTGTAAACAGGTAGTATACTAAATTAGTGTTAAGCGCTGTTGAAGTGCTGATAACCACTTGAAATTCAGAATCAGAATTAGTTAATTCTTAAAGCACAGACGTTACTCGCGCATGCGCATAACTTACAAAACCACCCAACGTCGACCGTCCATGACAAAGAATTTGGACAACTTTGGATTCGCCTATGTTCTACCGGGTTCCGGGTGTAATTCCTAATCTGAAAAACTATTGGTAATTTTCTCATTAAACGAGAACTCCATACCCTGGTTGATAGAAATGGCGTTATGATTTGTCTAGACTGTTTTGCGATTACCCTAAGAGTCGTAGAAAGCATTTTTGCTTCGTCAACTTTTTATTCGACACGGATTATTCCTATCTTGCAGTGAGGACTTTCACAGATCCATGTCTATTCTAATATGTTAAATAGTTTTTTGACTGTAAAATTGAAGTTTGCAAGGATAGCTCTAATAATGTTATAAATTATAATGGTGTTTTACTTGTAAATCTATATTGTGACAAAGCTTATAAAATAAAAAAAAAAAAATTAAATTAAAATTGTCGTATCATCATTCTAAAACAAGAACTTCATAATCGTGAATGCGGTGCTCCTTGCCACCGTAGGCGATGCATGCTCCCTTAAGATTCCCATCGTATTCCTTATCCACTCCAACTTTTCCAGGAATCATCTTTCCTGCAACTACGCCCCTTGCATGGTATGAAGGACCTCCATCGTAGCCTCCTTCAATAGCATTTTTTGGTGGCTTGTCACCAGTTTTGCATCTCACATAGGATGTTTTCGATGTTGATGTGAGCACCTCGAATGTGTGGACGCGGTGCTCTTTAGATCCGTAAGGAATGCACGCCCCTTTCAAACGGCCATTTCTAGGCGAATCTACTCCGACCTTGCCTGGAATTGTTTTCTCCGAAACAATTCCTCTCCCGTGGTAAGATGGTCCGTTATCATATCCACCTTCAACAGCATTTTCTGGCAGTGATTCCCCTGTTGAACATGGGACATGTTTGACAGACCCTTCATCAACTGGTTTAAAAAACTGTTAAGGAAAAAAATCAAATTTCAATGAATCCTAGCAATGCATTGCGTTCTTAAAAACAACCCTTTAGGTGTATGTGTTTGAGATCTATTCCTCCGACACTGTAGTTTATACTTCGCCTATAGCTAGATAGTCAGTTAATTAAAGGACGACAAATTGTAGCTATTATTGGAGCAATCGCCGGCACCGTAAATATCATGCATGAATGCGCATTATTTTGAATGTATTATGCAAGCTTTTTCAGACTTAGTTCCCCATACTGACATTCCTTCACTGTTCTTTTCTACAAAATAATATACATATTTTGCTCTTTTTTACGGTCAACTTTACCCCACTTCAGTTAAACAAAACTGGATTTACATGCATGAGCCGGTTGTATGCTTCAAGTCTTTGGTCTTGATATTTTTAAGTACATAGTTCCAAAAAAACTTTATTTAAGTTTAGCACTTTGCCCTAAATTTTTTTTTGCTGTGCAAAATCACGAAATTTGCCGCAAAAGGGAGGTAAATGGGGTTAGGCGAGTGCGAAAACGTTCTGATTTTTAAAGCGAATATCGCGTTGCCGGGTTTGGCATTGGTTGACTCGTGGTTGACTCCATGCATAAATTGACACGACACGGATTAACATTTTAAACAAGTTTAAGACCGATTTTTATTTACTGTTAAACCATAGGCAGCCCAGACTTTGACTTGCGCGTGTGATACTCGCGAGCGTGTCGCGCTTACGTTGTTTACTTCGTCTATATATTATGACAAGGTAGGAAAGAGTTTATCAAAATATGACAGATATACCTTCGTAAATGTATAATTATCTAAAAAATTACTTGAAGAAACGCCACAAAAACTACAACCTAATAATCACCGATGATTAAACTACATTATCCTAAAGTTTTCATGTTTTTTAACAACATCTAAAGCCTTCAAATTAGCAAAATAAAACAGGAATTCATACGGAATTTTAGAGAACTATCCCCAGGGTCACTCCGTAAAGGGATAGGTGGTCATAGGTGGTCCTGCAGGTAAGCCAATGAGCGTTTAGTTAATATCTCAAAAAATATGACGTTTCCTTAGGCGGAGTGACCCTCGGATAGTTTTCTCAAAATTCCGTATGAATTCCTGTTTTATTTCGCTAATTTGAAGGCTTTATAGATGTTGTTTAAAAACATGGAAACTGCAGAATAATGTGGTTTAATCATCGGTAATTATTAAGTTGTAGTTATTGTGGCGTTTCTTCAAGTAATTTTTTAGATAATTATACATTTACGAAGGTATATCTGCCATATTTTGATAAACTCTTTCCTACCTTGTCATAATCCCCGAGCCGGTGCGGAGCACCGTGCGAGGGTACTAATTCCGCCCGGAGATTAGGAATTACACCCGGCACCCGGGAGAACATAGCGGAATCCAAAGTTGCCCAAATGTCATGGACGTTCAATGGTCATGGTACTTGTGCGCATGCGCGAAATGCGAACGAGTGTAGACTGGTAATCAGCAACTTCCTGATTGGCTAAGACGAATGTGTTTCAGTGAAAAACGTCAGCAATTTAATTGTCATTTTGCAAACTATTTTTTAAAAAAATATTTCGAAAACAAAATATGAAATGTGGAATCAAATAACAGATAAAACACTGCGAAGAGTTATATTATCAGAACTGGAGGAATTAGCGGTGAAAAGGGACAACTCGATTATAATCCTTGAAATGGTAGGAGTCTATTTTGTTTATTTCGAGGTTTATTTCGTGTTTGCTGTACGAATACATTTTATGACCTTGGTACAGTATGTCGTTTTGCTCAGTTTTGCGAAGACGTGACCGACTATTTAAGACTTTACATCATCGTTTTAACTTCCAAAAGAGTCCTTAAAAGTGTAATTCGGAGTTTTAATATAACAAATATCACTTTAAAGGTTTATATACAGTCGACTGCAATCACTGCATGAGTTTAATTATCGAAAAACAACATTCGACGTTCACTGCTTGGTTATTTATATTATTTGGGCTGTTTTGATGTTTTGAAGCTTTAGCTATAATGAAGTATTAACTCTCACTTAAACTGTGAAAGTCTATAACTTAATTCAACGGAAAGCAGCAGGAAAACGGGTGATTTCACTTCACCTTTACGACTGTGTTTTTTTCCTAAATATTTGAAACATCAGCTATCGGCTTTACATTTAGGACATTTCATAATATTGAAGGTTAGGTCTGGCTAGCTCAGGAAATATTTTGCTTCGTTTGAAATGGCGAGGGGTTGCTGCATGCATGTATCTCTAGTATATAGACGAAGTAAACAACGTAAGCGCGACACGCGCGCGAGTATCACACGCGCAAGTCAAAGTCTGGGCTGCCTATGGTTAAACCGCTGTTCTGTTGACTACGATATTTCAAATCTTAAGACAACCTTAAATGTGCTACATGGTGTTCTTGGTGGCGTGGGAAAGCTTTGAAAACAAACAAACAAAAAAACAAACAAAGAAACAACTAAACAAGAACAACAACAGTCCTTTAATGGTAGACTTTCTGACCTCCTTCAACGGCTTGCCTAGAGGCATTTGGATAAATTGAAAAACTTGGCCGGATAAATTTCTGCCAGAATTTTGGACCTGAAATTAAAGATAAAACAACAATTAGTTAGAGAGAGCAAACTAAGAGTATTTGAAGATATTCTCGCATGAAAAGTGTGCAGAAAAGATAAAAAATAAAGACGATAGGCGAAGAAAACGCTGCGTGACTTACGCTTTCAATTAGCAAATTTCTGCAACAGTCTGATCAAAATGATGTCGTGGTTTCAAAGTCAAACATTTAAACTAACCACGATTTTGCATGCCACCGAGCAAGTTGCCACCGGAACTCGCAAGTACCAACCGTCATTTTCACATTTTGTAAAGTTGCTAGCACGCACTACCACCGGTCGGTATTTATTTATGCTTATTTCTTAACGAACTGTGTATTTGATGCTAATCATTTGACAAATTAAAGGTGGATCCGAGAGAAATTTACGATATTTACATTACCAGTTCTGTTTGTTCGCAGATATTTCAACGTGTAGACAGTGGCGTAGCTAGCAATAGCAACTCGTCCCGCTTTGCTGTGTTGAACGATGCAATTTTCCTTGCAACTTGCAATGCAATTCTACTCTTGAGAGATGTAGTGTTGGCGAATACAACATTTTATTACGCTCCGCTGACGTTTTCTTGACATTTCGATCACTCTTTACTAATTGACATCCTCAAAATTACAATTGCATTGCAATTTGCAAGGGGAAAAGTGATAATTATTGTAACAGCGCCTTAATATGAACTGATCTCCATACATCGTAAACAATGCATTTGCAAATGCTTGAATACGTAATTCGTTCAAAAATTTGCAGAGCCATGCAGCATCGCTATGAATGATTTATAGTCCTGACACGAAGTTTCGAGAGGCAGAAGATTTTTTAGTTCTCCACAACAGCGTATATTTGTATTCAGGACTCGAATATTTGATAATCACAGAAACACATAACGGGAAACCGCGAAATACATCATATATCTTATAAATTATTCCCTGTGGGCTGTGGAGTCACAAAGAAATTCAGGCAGGAGATCTCAGTTTAGCTCCTCCCAGTTTACGTCAATGTAATATTTTTACATCAATTAACGGATTCGTGTTCCTGTTTGTTCCAACCAAGTGGTATAGTATCTTCCTAACTGAACGCAAACGAAATGGACAAATGGTGCTATGGCTGCCACGCATGTAGTCAGAAGGAATGATTTACAGGCTGTCTAAACCGTTGAACACTAAACTCTTTGTTTAAGCTTATTACCATTCGACTGAGCCGGAACCTTAAAAGTTCGACGTATGAAAGGGACTTTAAACACACATGAAGCATGAGAGTTATAGTAACCCATAAAAAGAAAAAGTCGACAAATCCTAGACTAATGAACTTATAGTACTTTTCAAACAGCAAAAAATTAATTTTGATTGCATATGCGGATATTTCAAATCTGCATCATATTTCAGTGTTTGTAGAAGCCTAGTTTATAAATGTCAAGTTACTATATAAACCAAAATGCAGTCGAAATCTTATCTGTTTATCTTCGTCCATTAACGTGAGATGTAAAAATTTGTTAAATCAACGAATTCGTATTGCTGTTTGTCTTAACTTGGCAGCATTGTATATTATAGAGTGAAGGTTGAATATAGTTAACGTCGAATATACCAGAATGTTGTATATTCGACCTTGGTTTGATAGAATACACTAGAATATGGTATGATTTTCGACCTTTGGTAAGATTGAATACACCGGAATGGTGTATTAATCACCCTTTGTAAGATACCGAAATTTGGACCCCCAAAGAAGCTGCAGAATTGCTCAAAATATCACAAAAGAGAGAAAAAATGCTGTGCAGTCCTGTTTCTAACGAAACGTCTTAAAGAGGACTTAATTAAGATAAGGTATTATGAGCTGCTATCATGTATCAGCATCGCCATGAATGATTTATAGGCCTGACTCGAAGTTGCGTGAAGCAGAAGATGGTTTGGCTCTCCCGAATAACATATATAATTGCATTCAGGGGGATAAATGTCAAATTACTATACCTGTATAGGCCTAATTATTGAGTGACCCGAATATTTGATAATCCCAGAAACACAAATCGATAAACCGAAATGCATCATAGATCTTATAAATTATTCCATGTGGACTGTGGAGTCACAAAGAAATTCAGTCAGGAGATCTCAGTTTAGCTCCTCCCAATTTACGTCAATGTAATATTTTTACATCAGTTAACGAGTTCGTGTTCCTGTTTATCACAACCGAGCGGTGTAGTATCTCCCTAACTGAACGCTAACGAAAAGGTGCTATGAGCTGCCTCGCATGTAGTCAGCAGGAATGATTTATAGGCTGTGTCAACCATTGAACACTAAACTCTTGGTTTAAGTTCATTTCTTCTTTCTCATCGTATCTTATCTCTCATCTTATTTGCATTCGAGTCGTATCCTTCCTTTGTTGTATCTATAATTTCGACTTATAAGCCATAAAAATAGTAAAATTGACCAATCCTTGACTAGTGTAATATACTACTTTCTTAACAGCCAAAAAAAACGAGGATCGCATGGATATTTTAAATCTGATTGCATTATATTTCAAATCTGTATAATTATATCAATAATTTATTGTTAAGATAGCAAGCTAGTATAAACTTAAAAGGTTGCTATATGAGATATCTTATAATGCAGTTTATCTCCTTACCTCCAGATGTAAAATTTGTTACCTCAACGGAGAAAGAAACGACTGGCCCCGTATGCACGGGTGGATCCAGACTGATGCGATTGTCGCAAATGCATCAGTCAAAATATCCGCACAAAGGCGAAAAAAAAGTATGGTATTGGCAAAAAGTAAGACTATATTTATAGTCTCTGGAAAGGTACCCAGTAAAACACGATAAAAAATAGTAAAGGTCGAATATAGCAGAAAGGAACAAACGCGAAATATTGAATACGAAATTGTCGGCGAAGTACAAAAAAATATGACCATTTAGTCTCTCAGTAAAACACGACAAGAAGTAGTGAAGGTCAACACTCGAATATACAAGAATATGGTAGAATTAATAATTGATCTTGGTAAGATTGTTGAATACACCAGAATGTGTAATATTTAACTTTGGTAAGCTCGAATACACCTGAATATGGTATAATTAATTATTCTACCTTTGTGAGCTCGAATTCCCGAATTTACGCACCAGAAAATATATAGCTTTAATTATTTGACCTTGGTAAGCTTAAATTCTCCTGAATATAGTATAAATATTCAACCTTGGTAAGATACCGAAATATGGACCTCCCATGCAGTGGTGCTGCAAAATTCAAAATATTAATATTCAAAATATCACACCAGTCAGCGGCCCTGATCCTAACTAAACGTTTATCCTTCTACTCGCGTAAAAATGCTCAGGTTGATGCAAGTTGATATAAACAGGATGGAGCAATGTTGTCCTGCCCACATTGTTCCGAGTTATTATCAATATTGAGCAATATTGTTACAACCGATTCAGTTTCAACAATATTGTTCAATGTTGATATAACAACTCTGAACAATGTGGGCAGCACAACATTGCTCCATCCTGTTTATATCAACTTGCATCAACCTGAGCGTTTTTACGCGTGTAGCATGCAATGTCTGGTTAAAAGGATTCAAAGACAAGGTGCTATGAGCTGCTATGTTATCGCCATTTATAGGCCTAGCTGACTTGAATGTCGAACTCTGACGTCTAACTCTAAAGTCTTTATTAACAATTTGTGATAGATTTTTTTCACACAGTTAACTGTAATAGACGATACACATACAGTTCCTGAATAGTTTGTCATATAATCAGTATAAAATAATATCAGTACTTGTAACATCATGAAACGTCTATTGAAATAACGCACTATGGAATTCACGAGGAAGAAGTAAAGCGCATGAATTCTGAAAATTTTTAGACTTAAAGTAAACAGGAAGAGCGATAATTATTAGGAGAGCGGAATTAAACGTCACATGCTTGGACGAATTTTCATGTGTGTCGAATTTTCGTGAAGCACAAAATAGTTTAGGTCTCCAGTAAATTTGAAGAGCATCTAATTGTATTCAGGGGGATAAACGCCAAGTTACTATAGATTAGAAAATTATACATTAATTTATACTTAGGCGTTTTACATTGTGCAATATTAGCAATTCCTTTATGCTGTAGGTCTGATTGAGTTACTCGATTATTTTGTTATGAAAGAAAAACATTTCGGGAAACATTATAGTGGAACCTTTATCTCAATTCAAAAAATTCAGTAAGATTCGCATTGATGCAGGGAGTATGGAGTACTACAAGATTTATCGACGCATACCTGAAAATTTTCTCGTGTTGAATGTGTAGATTCTGAGGTTCACCAGTATTAGCCTTGTCTCCACGCGGCTTCGAGATTGAATTTGAAATGAATTGAACACTGATAATCAATGATAATCAGGGGCCGGTTGTTCAAAAGCAGATTAAATTTAATCCTGGGTTAGTGCTAAACCTGGGTTAAAATCCTTAACTCTAGGTTAGCTAAACCTGGGTTAAAACTGTGTTGTTCAAAGCAGGGTTAGCGGTAGGGTTAGTTAACCGAGAGTTAAAATGTTTAACCTAAGATTAAATGTATTTTAAGGACTAAATTGGATATAAGAACGTTTTCGATTGGTCAATGAACGAGCGTCAAAACTTTACCCGACGAGGATAATTATATTGTCAGTCGAAAGATTATATGCCGTGAGGGCAGGGTCGAAGGAACGTTGTTTTGAACAGTAATTTCCGTGCATGGAATTTTGGAAAGAACCGAAATGAAAGGCCATTTTGTATGATAAACAATGTCGATGTGAAACAAAATTAAGCAAATTATAAACAATCTATTTTAAAATTTCAGGCATTGTTTGATTATTCAAAATTCAGGAACAAACGTAGCCTTACCACTTGCTGCCAATCAAAAGAATCGAATTTTAGCATCGGCGAAACAAATATTTCGATTACGATGTTTCAATTTGTACGGTTGTATTCATTTATCGTGTATTGCATTGAAGCGAAGATAAATAAATCAATACATCAGCTGAAACCGAACGAAGTCAAACTTAAATAATTCTTTGCTGTCGAAATTATTCGTAAAACCTTTCAAAAGTGTTTAATTCATGACGAATTATACGTGTTTACATGTTTCAGCTCCTTATTCATCCATTTTGAATCGAAGTTAACCCAGGATTAAAAAGTTAACCCATCTAGCTAGCAGGGTTAATTTTTTATCAATTTTAACCCAGGGTTAACGCTAACCGAGCTTTGTGCTGCTTTGAGCAACGCAAATCAACCAAGGTTTAAAATTTAACCCTGGGTTAGGTATTTTTAACCCTGGGTTAGCGTTAACCGGCTTTTGAACAACCGGCCCCAGTTATATAAATAACGATAGCGGAATAGAACGTCGTATGCTTGAGCGATTTCTTCAATTAAATTTGACATCCAGTCAGTAAGACACAAGTTGTATATTCGACCTTGGTTTGAAGGAATACACTAGATATAGTATGATTTTTTAAATGAATACACCCGAATGTGATATAATTATTCGACCTTTTGAAAGATACCGTAATATGGACCCCCAGAGATGCCGCAGAATTGTTCAAAATATTACCCCAGACCGCTGGATGCGGTGCTGTTCCTAACTGGACGTCTTAAAGAGGACTTAATTAAGACAAGGTATTATGAGCTGCTCATCGTGTATCAGCATCGCCATGAATGATTTACAGGCCTGACTCAAAGTTTCGTGAAGCAGAAAATTGTTTGGTTCTCCAGAATAGCATATAATTGTATAAATGTCAAATTACTATACCTGTGGCCTAATTGAGAGACTCGAATATTTGATAATCACAGAAACACATTATAAACACATCAATTTATAGGCTGTATAGAAACACATCAATTTATAGGCTGTCTTAACCGTTGTACACTAAACTCTTTGTTTAAGTTCATTTCTTCTTTGTCATCGTATCTTATCTCTCATCTTATTTGCATTCGAGTCGTATCCTTCCTTTGTCGTATCTATAAGTTCGACTTATGAAAGAGCCTTTAAACACACGTTATGAAAATTATAATAAGGCATGAAAATAGTAAAATTGGCCAATCCTTGACTAGTTTATTATACTACTTTCTTAACAGCCAAAAAATTATGATCGAATGACTTGCGTGCATGGATATTTCATGCAAATCTGCATGATATTTCAAAAATGGTCCGTTTCAGACGTCCAACTTTTCATGCTTGAACCAAATAGTTCATGATTTCTTGGACATGTCTTAGTTTCAGCTCATTTGTGCTAAACCTTGTTTCTGGTATGTCGTAGCTCATCGGCGATGTTATATACGACCCACTGTCAGTGAGCAATGAAATAAATCTTGATCGCATTTGCGGATCTTTCGAATCTGGGTGATATTTCAGTGTTTCTAGAAGCCTAGTTTGTAAATGTCAAGTTACTATATTTAAACCGAAATGCAATCTAAATCTCATCTGTTTACCTCCTTCCATTATGGTCAGCTGTAAAATTTGTTAAATCAACGAATTCGTATTGCTGTTTGTCTCAACTTGGCAGCATTGTGTTTATAAAATCAAGGTCGAATATAACAGAATGTTGTATATTCGACCTTGGTTTGAAGGAATACACTACATATAGTATGATTTTTCGACCTTGGTAAGATTGAATACACCGGAACGTGGTATAATTAATCGACCTTTGTAAGATACCGAAATATGGACCCCCGGAGATGCTGCAGAATTGTTCAAAATATCACACAAGAGAGAAAAAATGCTCTCGTCTTAAGAGGACTTAATAAAGACAAGGTATTATGTCAGAGCTGCTATCATGTATCAGCATCGCCATGAATAATTTATAGACCAGACTCGAAGTTTCGGGAAGCAGGAAATTGTTTGGTTCTCCACAATCGCATATAATTGTATTCAGGACCCGAATATTTGATTATCACAAAAACACATGTCGGGAAACCGTAATGCATCAAATATCTCATAAATTACTCCCTGTGCGCTGTGGAGTCACAAAAAAATTAAGTTAGGAGATCTCAGTTTAGCTCCTCCCAATTTACGTCAATTTAATATTTTTACATCAATTAGCGATTTCGTGTTCCTGTTTGTTCCAACCAAGCGGTAAAGTATCTTCCTAACTGAACGCTAACGAAAAGGTGCTATGAGCTGCCTCGCATGTAGTCAGAAGGACTGATTTATAGGCTGTCTCAACCGTTGAACACTAAACTCTTGGTTTAAGTTCATTTCTTCTTTCTCATCGTATCTTATCTCTCATCTTATTTGCATTCGAGTCTTATCCTTCTTTTGTCGTAGCTATAAGTTCGACTTTTGAAAGAGCCTTTAAACACACGTTATGCGAATTATAATAAGGCATGAAATTAGAAAAATTGACCAATCTTTGACTAGTGCGCAACTTTCCTAAGAGCTAAAAAAATGATGATCGCATGGATATTTCAAATCTGCATGATATTTCAAATCTGTATGTATCAGTAATTCATTGTTAAGGAAGCATGCTACTTTAAACTGGAATGCAACCTATATCTTAAGTAGGTAGCTCCACCCCCATATAGCGAGGAAAACACGCAACGCGTGGATCCCACGCGGGACGTCGGAAACTGTTGGATTTTCCCAAAGATATGCGTAGTCTCCACGCGCGAGTAGAATAATGCGCGGGCACGAGGAATGGGGTAAACAATGAAGCGTAAATACGCATCATAGCGTAAATACGCAGGATATGTTTGTTTGACAACAATTTACTCAAATTACACAAATGCCGGTTTATATTATTTATCACACAGTAAGAATTTGCGAAGAGTATATTTTATTTTACTAGGGTTACACATTTGTATGTCAATATTACCATTAGACTAATATTCATTTTAAAGATTCGTTTTCTATGTATGCTTTGTGATACAGTTCAGTTCATACGTTAACCTTGATTTTATCGTCCTCATATTATATGTCAAAATGTCATTGATACACGAATCATTTCCATACATCAATTTTCATATTATCGAGTTACTCAAAGTGTACTTGCATGGAATATGAAGAGGAATATCGGTTACAAATTTTGTGCAATGAGGAGATGAGTACCTGCTCGTAACTGCTCATGAGCAGATGCTCATCTGCTCAATGAGATATTTCATACCCACTTGAAATTTTTGTTGATAAAATGAAAAATTAATGTACATATGAACTAGCGACCGGAAAGAAGAAAATTTCAGACATGGATTTATGATTTTTACATTTATTTGTTTTGATATTGGTTACAACAATAAATAATAATTTCCCTTAAACGCTTTATTATTTTTTTGCTCGTTTGCCATGGTTTCCTTAAGAAATGTTCGGTAAACCTTTGCCATTGGATTAAATTTAAAGTCTAATTATCGTCATCGTCATAATCTTCACTGTCTTTATTTTCCTCGTCATCTTCAATCTCGTGGTCGCTTAAAAGCCTTTTAACAAGAAACTTTCTTTTATCAACTGCATACACCATAGGCGGCCCACAAATCTGTTTATACTCAGTCTTCGACTGCATTGTTTACGCGCGCGGTCAGCTTCTCCTGCCTGTACTAATTACTGTATTATATATCAATATATAATACAATAATTAGTACGGGCAGGAGAAACTGACCGCCCGCGTGAACAATGCAGTCGAAGACTGCGCATAAACAGATTTCTGGGCCACCTATGCATACACACGCAAGAAAATTTTCCCTTAGAAGCGCGGGAAATTAAGGCATTTAAAAGTTTGAAAGCCAAAACTAACAAAATGAATACACAGAAAACTAAATCTTCGCTTAACGTACTCTTGCTTTTTCTTGAGCACGTATCGATATTTTCAACTAGAGCAAAGAAGGACAAAGCATGTTGCAAATATTTGGGATAGTAAATAGTATTTTAAATCAAAATAAAAATAATTTCACACTCGTTGGTTGCTCGGGTGGCGCTCGGAATACCCTCGTAAAGCGCTAAAATGCGCGAAACTCCTTGACGAGGTATATCAGTCATTGTGTCTCACTTGCAATATATGCACGCACGCACACTTTCACGAAAAAGAATATTTAAACAGATTTTGTGACTTACATCTTTGAATTCAATGACGTTTGTAATTGCAACACGCTTCTTTGATGTCTTGCTCTCAACCACCTTGATAGCATCGAAGACATCCTCTAAAGTTAGTTGTGCGTTCTTCAAACTCTTTCGACTTATGAAACACCTGCAGGCCTCTGTCAATCTTTCCACTGCTCCAACCAGTACGTCCTCTTTAAAAATACGGTGCACTTCACGTCATATCTGAAGGAAACAAATGTTGAAGCAAATCAGTATCAAGTGCATGGAATTTGTTTAATAGCCAAAATATTGATAACACAAAAAAGTATTGTATATATAAGCGTCAAAATCTGAAAACCATACGAGTGTGACTAATATAACTACTGGTAAATAACTGAATATCATAACTGGACATAATTTTCTAATTCCTAGAGGTCCTTATTTCTAAAAACTGGTTCTAAAATTAAAAGTCACATGCGATAATATCACTCACATGTTCTTGTTTTCCAAGATATGAGAACATAGCTAACACTTCGTAAGATGATCGGGCTGTTTCTCTAATAAAATCTCGCCGGGCCATAAATGTGTCTTCCACAAAGCTTTTGTGGGTTGCGCTTGATATGAAACCCGGTTTGCTGCACTTTAAAAGCTTTCGATTCCTCTTCTGAGCATCTGGGTCATCGTTTAGTAACTTGAACCTTTTGGCTGAATTAGTATGGCTGGTATTGGAATTTCCACAAGAAACACTCTTTTGTACACTTTTTCTTCTAGCATTCCTAAAAAATTGGCTAAGCTGCTTTTGCAGAGATAGCTGTAAAAACAAAATTATTTTATCAGAACATGTAGAACAGTTTAGCCTGTCAAAAAGAGAGCATTAATTGTTAAAAAAACCTATTGTCAATTGTACATTACTGCTTCAGTATTTTGTGGGTAACATTACACAATAAAAACAGTGAACAGTAACAGAGTACATAAAACACCTAGAATGTTATATATTGGACAGATGGAATACTGAAGTAGAAGGAGTCAAAAGAATGCATTTCTACTTGATGGTATTGTGGTAATCTACCAGCTGGAAAGTTGGAAGAAATTTTGATATGGCAAAATCATAAATATTTTTGTCTTAATTCTCTTTGAAACCATCGAATTTATTTCCCACCTAATGAGCTACAAGGTCTGAGCACAGTCTACATTGGCATTGTGCATTGAACATAATTTCAAAGAATGGTTGTTTTTTCTTGTTGAAATTAAAAGGAATCAGCTGCTATTGAAGATACTTTCTTTAAAAATACAAAATTAGGCTATGTTATTAGGCACTATTTAGTATTCTATAATAATGCATTCATTTGATACTATTATCAATGAAGATATTAGCAATAAAAAAGGCTGTCAAATATTATACTGTTTATATCTAGTTAACAACTTTAAGTTTATCCAGTTAATAAGTGTGTTTTGTTTAACACACCTAAGGTGTGTTCCTTGGATGGGTTAAGGTGTGCTGTCGAACTCACCAAGGTGTGTTTATACTAAAAAAGTGTGCTTCTTTACACACCTTAATGCGCAAAAGGAAAGGTGTGTGGAAAAGGTTGGTGTGTTCGCTAACACGCGAAGGTGTGTTTTCGTACACACGAAGGTGTGTATTCAAAATCTGCTTAGTAAGGTTTGCTCAATTTACACACCATGGCGTGCAATTGAACACACGACTAAGTTGAGTTATGTTCTTGTATACCTCAAAATACGTAGTTTGTATTTTTAAAGGTTCGTTTAAAATAAAAGAAACATAAATAATATACTATATATTTTCTATCATTGTTTTGGTCACCATCAAAATAATGGTGTTCCTGTCTTCATAGTGCTGGTGCATGGCG